CAGCCAGCCTCCCCCCACCCCCCACCCCCCACCCCTTTTTTTTTAAGATAGGGGAGTGTCTTAATCTGTTCGGGCTGCTTGTAACAAACTACCATAGACTAGGTGGCCTATAAAAAACAAATTTATTTCTCACAGTTTTGGAGACTGGGATGTCCAAGATCAAGGCACTGGCAGACTTGGTGTCTGGTGAGGGCCTGATTCCTGGTGCAAAGACGTGTGTCTTCTTACTGTGACCTCATGTGGAGGAAGAGATGAGGGAGCTCTCCAGGGTCCCTTTTATATAGGCACTAATTCCATTCACAAGGGCTCCACCATCATGATCTTATCACCTCCCAAAGGCTCACCTCCAAATGCTATCACATTGCAGATTAGGTTTCAACATAGGATTTTTTTTTTTTTCCTTTTTGTCTTTTTTCGTGACCGGTAACGGGATCGCAACCCTCGGCATCGCGCCCGCACCGCTCTCAACCAGTGAGTGGACCGGTCTCCATATGGGATCCGAACCCTCGGCGGGAGCACCGCCGCGCTCCCAAGCGCCGCACTCTACCGAGTGCGCCACCAGGCCACATTTCCCCAAAATTCCTCAACATAGGAATTTTGGGGAAATGTAAATATTTAGTCTGTAGCAAGGAGAGACCTTTATTTTACCTTTTTTAGCCTTTTCACCCCATCCTAAATTGTGATGATGTACATAATTTTAGAGCTGGAAGGAAGCTCAGAGATCATCTTAATTCTCCTGACAATGCATTTTAATCACCTGGGGAAGCATTTTAAAAAAATACTTATTTTGGGACCCCAGAATCTGATTTAATTCATCTGGTGGGCATTTTTTAAAAACTCCCCAGGTGATTCTGGTGTTTATCATCAAAAGGTAGAGTCTGCGTTCATCTTCTTCAGTATGGACCTACCTTAGTGACTTGTTTCTAACAAACGGGATGTGGGGAACATGATGCCATATGACATGTAAGATTAGGTGGGAAAAGACAACATAGCTTCTATCTGGCTGCTTTCCCCAGCAACCCAACCGCCAGGTTGTGAGGAAGCCAGGTGTCCCAGCTCATAGCTCCTTGAGGCTCTGACAGCCTGCAGGGAGTGAGCAAGACTTCCGGGGGTTCTAGCCCCCGGTCTTCCGGCCACCCAGCCAATGCCAGACTTGTGCAGTCTGCAGACTCATGAGCTAAATAAATGATGGTGGTGTTCTAAGCCACTAAGTTTTGGGGTGG